CTCCCAGCTTAGGAGTCACAGCCCCAAGTGCTCCTACCACCACTGGGACCACTTGGCCTTTACGTTCCACATCCTCTCTGTTTCCTCCTTCAAGTCCTGGTACTTCTCCAGCTTCTCATGCTCCTTCTTCTTGATGTTGCTGTCACTTGGCACTGCTACACCTGTCACTACTGCTGTCTCCTGGTGTGTGTGTGTATGTGTGTATATGTGTGTATGTGTGTATCATATATATATATATATATATATATATATGATTTTTAAAAATAATATAAAAACAAACACAAACAAATATAAAGTAAGAAAAAGAAAAGAAAGAAAGAGAAATCAAAGAGAAGTGCAAGAAAGGGAAAAAAGTAAAAATAGAAAAGAAAGAAAAAAGATATAAAGAAGTAGTTTCTGATTTTGTTTACAGCAGTTATAAGTACAACTATAAGTTTACCTCTTATTCTATGGTTACAATATACCTCTCTTCTTTCTATAATCAAAACCATAAATCATAAGTTCATTTTTTTCTTTCACACAAAAAAGTTATAAGGGGTTTCTAGTCAGCAATAAATGTAGATATTGTCTTTTCTCTGATCAAAGAAGTCAATTTACTGTAGCCATCTCAGCAAGTTCCATCATTTTCACCAACCATTCCTCCATTGTTGGTATTGCAGAATCTTTCCATCTTTGTGCATACAATAATCTCACTGCAGTTATGTACAAAAACAAAGTTCCATGGCTTTTTCCCAACTATTTGTCCACCAGTCCCAAAAGAAAAACCTCTGGTTTCAATTGTATATTAATCTGTAAGATCCTCTGAATTAATGTATGTACTTGAATCCAGAATTTTCTAGCTTTTTTACACATCCACCAAACATGATAAACAGTCCCTTCTTGTTGTTCACATTTCTAGCCATTATACATTCTAGACAATTTATCTCGTGACAAATACCAATGGCACATCATTTTATAAAAATTCTCTTTAAGATTATAACATTTCAATGTTTAAGATTATAAATTTCAATCCTTTCAGCCACATATTTCCCATTGTTCCATCTATATATTATAACCAAAAAAGCCCACTTTATCATACATTCTTTCACTTGTTCTTTTTCTTTTTCAAAATTCAATAAGTTTATACATTTTAGCAATTACATGTTTATCATTTGTACACAATTCTGTTTCAAATTCAGTCTTACAATGTTCAAAACCATGTTCTTTTGTCTACTTTAAATCTTTCTAATAATTCTAAATAAGAGAACCATTGACAACTATATCCCTCTGCCACCAGTTCTTATCTTGATTTTATTTTATATTCCCCTTGACAAAGTTCTAGTATCTCATGATAAGTTTGCCATTTGTGTTTGCTTATAATTTCTCATCTGTGATATGCTTCTTGTGCTGAGAGCCACAGAAGTTTTTTTGAACACAACCTGGGTTTGTATCTATTCCCTATTCTCAATATGGCATGTTTAACATAATGGTTTTTAAAATCCACATTGACCTTGACTTTATCGCTCCACAAATATGCATGCCACCCAAATCTCAGGTCCTGTTCTTCTAACCCCAAAAGCCTTCTATTTCTCAGCAACACCCACTGTTTCATCCAAACCAAACAGCAAGCTGCAAAATACAATTTCAAATCAGGTAAACCCAGTCCTCCTCTTTCCTTTGCATCCTGTAACACCTTATATTCAATCATGGTTTTTTCTCTTGCCACACAAATTTAGATATATCCTTCTGCCACTGTTTAAGCGGTGCATCCGTTGTCAAAACAGATATTGTCTGAAACAAAAATATCATTCTAGATAAAGCATTCATTTTTATCACAAAAGTTCTCCCCAGTAATGACAATTGTAATTTCTCCCATCTTAACATATCTTTTTTTTAATTTCATTACATACCTTAACATAATTATTTTGAAATAACATACCATTCATATTTGTCATAATGATACCCAAATATTTTACCTTCTTCTCAATCTTAAAACTTGTTTTATTCATCAATTCTGTTTGATCATCTATTTTCATATTTTTTGTTAAAATCTTCATCTTCTGCTTATTAATCTTAAAGCCTAACGCACCAAATTCTTTTAATTTGTCCATTAATATTTCAATTCTCTTTAAAGGATCTTCTAGAACCAATACCAAGTCATCTGCAAAAGCCCTTAACTTATACGTTTCTTTTTTAATCTTTACTCCCATAATCCTCTCATCTTGTCTTATATCTCTATTCAATATTTCCAGAACTGAAATAAACAGGAGGGGGATAATGGGCATCCCTGACTTGTTCTATAGCAGTGTTTCTTAACTTCAGCATCTTTAAGATGCTTGGATTTCATCTCTCAGAATTCCCCAGCCAGACTTCAATTCCCAGAATTCTCCTTGCTGGCTGGGGAATCATGGGAGTTGAAGCCCATACATCTTAAAATTGCTGAGGTTGAGAAACACTGATCAGTAGGATGAAATTGGAGCTATAGGCCCATACTTGCGAATCAAGACTTAGAAAGTCAGAGAATAGCATATAGAACTAGGCAATCTGAAAGGATCTCATCATACAATGGTCTCAGATGGCCTTAGTGTCTAATAAGCTGTATTGTTTTCTAAGGGTTGAAATTCTTCAAAAGCCAGGCCCGGCCAAGCCAAGCCAGGTCACACTTTCTCTTGAAACAATACCATATTTCAAAGTCAACATGGTTCAAAATAAAACTGCATTATTAGATTTTAAACCACTTTCAGAAGAGCTTCATAAATGAAAATCCCAGGACTCAAATATAAAATGCTTATTATTTCCATTCTCAGGGAAGTTGTATATGTAATTTATAAAGTATGTCACAATACTTATTGTGATTTGGTACTTGACATAACCATAGGGAAGTACTTGAAAACTGAAATACCTTCCTCAAACACTTATATACAAGAACCGGTAACCAGGACAAAATATCAAATTATACCCTGCAGCACAGGGAAACAACTGGCATATTCTAAATATAAGCTAATCCACTTTAATGGGCAAATATTTTAGAAAATAAACACATCCAGACCTGGTTTACAGGATCTTAATGCATTTACAAATGTATAAATAATGTGTCTTTCATAAGATGGAAATCTCACCAGATGCTGCTTCTTCTCCTGGAACACCATGATGAGGAAAATATGTACATGCTATTTATCTGTTGCTCCATTCTTGTGTCTCTTACAATATTTGAATGGGGCAACAGGGAAATTACATTTTCCTAATCCTTGAATGGTAAGGTGATGTAATTTTCCACTGCATCAGTCCATCCAGTGCAGTTATACGCCTAAATGAATGTGATGTAGAATTTAGTTACGCAACAATTGCATAAGTTATCTTATGATAAATGCTGTCTGTGTATTTATCTTGGTGACTAAGGGCCACAAGGCGATATAATCATGTTAACAGACAGGGTAAGGCTGGAACTTGGGAATCCTTTTCCTGTTTTAGAGGATGTATTATTATTAAATTCCACTTTACATTAGGATCATTGCTAGCATCTATACTAGTCAGTCTTTCTATGCTGCCAATTTTCTTTCTTAGACAAATTCTGAAACTTCAGTAGCTATTCTGGGATATTCAGGGAATTAAACTGAGACAAAGATAGTTGCAGATCATAGGGTCATAATGAACATTCAGTTGCTTTTGTATCTCAAGTCTTCTCTAACACAGTCCTGTTCCAAATGCGTTGGGGTGACAAGTCTCAAAATTTCCTGATGCATCTGGAGAGCACTAAATGGAAGAAGGTAGCATTTACTTTCCTATGACATGAAACATAGGAAATTCACACGGACATGTAGAAACACGATCCACACTTCTCTTTTTGCTTCTTTTTCAGAGACCTATTCTGAAGAGCTGAGAAGTCTAGGTGATCATCATTCAGGTATTTCTGCCTCCATTTTTATAAGACCAGTGTTTCAAAAAGCAGGTATACTGTATGCGTAGGGTTTTTTTTCTTTCTTTTTTTTTTTGCTAAAATCACAAGCAACCCACACCAAGAAAAACTGATTTCTGTGACTCGCATGACTGACACATATAACTGGTTCAGATGAACCATAGTTGCTTGATTTCTCATGCTCTGCAGCAATGTTTATTCCAGCCTTTGTATTGCATTCAAGGCACTGAAACTCTTTTTTTTTGGGGGGGGGGGTTGTTTGTTTGTTTATCCATTCAATCATGCCCAATTCTTGGAGACTGCCTGGACAAGTCCCTGCAGTTTTCTTGACAAGGTTTTTTAAAAGTGGTTTGCCATTGCCTCCTTTTTAAAGCTGAGAGAGAGTGACTGGCCCAGGGCCACCCAGCTGGCTTTGTGCCTAAGGCAGGACTAGAACTCTCAGTTTCTAGCCTGGTGCCTTCACCACTGCACCAAACTGGCTCTCTAACTGAGTTTCAAACCGAAACTCTAGAAGCAGCTAAAATAGGACTCACCCAGCTTACTGGTCCAACAGTGAGGGCTGGAAATTTAAGAAGAAAAACAGAACTGCTTAAGAAGTTGAATTCTGCATTCCAGCCTATTATCACTGTTGCTGCTATTATTTTTTTTTCTTGAACTTCCATGGAGTCCCATAATATACATCGGATCTCCCTGTCAATGAAAGTAAGGTACATCCCTCCATGGTGTTCAGAAAATTATTTTAATGTTCAATCATTTTGAATAATAGTTAAGATCAAATACAGCATACTGTACATAGTCTCCCCACATTCCAGGAAGCAATTCTTCATTTTTCAGGAGTTGGTTTTTTTTTTTTTTGGTATTTTGTTAAAATTAATTTTGATTTTAAAAAAAGACTGCACTTGTTTTTTAACCATTTCATTATCCAACCTTCTTCAACCTGTTGCTCTACTCATGCACTGAACCCTAACTCCTGTATTGTTCATTTGCACTCTCCTCTGTTTGTTTGTTTGTTTTCAGGTTTTTTATACCACTTTTATTATTTTTTTATAAATAACTCAAGGCAGCAAACATACCTAATACTCCTTCCTCCTCCTATTTTCCTCACAACAACAACCCTGTGAGATGATGAGTTGGGTGAGAGAGAGTGAGAGGCCCAAAGTCACCCAGCTGGCTTTGTGCCTAAGGTGGGACTAGAACTCACCGTCCCCTGCTTTTTAGCCTGGTGCCTGAACCACTAGACCAAACTGGCTCTCCTACAATTGTTCCTACAGTTCCTACAATATTGTCATCCCCCTTTCTCCATAGTTCTGCCTCCCCTCACCTTTCTGTTCTTGTTTTCCCTCACCACCACCCTTATCTATCATATTCAAACTTTACCTGCCTGTTTCTGCAATGCCAAGGTGTTCAGCCCTCCAAACTTTCTGATGATTTCCCTCCTTGAAAGAACAACTAAAAAAGGGGGAGCTTTGTACTTCCTATGGAAAGTCTCAGTAAAATTTTGCTTGGACACAGTGCCTGGGCTGGCTTCTGGCATCTGGATCATGGGCTTGAATCTGAGATGAGAAACAAACAAAGAGATTCAAAAGGCAGTAGTAAATGAAAGTAAAGAGAAAACAGTATCTAAAATAAACAGTTGGATTTCTAAAGCCCCATAGAATCTCATTACATTATTGTTTTCTTTCTTTAAGCTCTGGACAAGGGCTCTTGTTCCACCTGGAGCACTGGCCATTTCTCAACCTTTGACAATTACCTGTATGATTTCTCGGGGACTTGCAATTATATCTTTGCCACTGTCTGCGATGACATCTCTCCGGACTTCAACATACAGTTCCGTCGTAATCTGAACAAAAAAATTGCAAGAATTATCATTGGGGTGGGACCCAATACTATTACCATTGAAAATAGTGTCATCTCCATCAAGGATTATGGGTAAGCATCCAATAGAAAAATGGTTTAGCTCTGCTGCACGCTAAAGTTTCTTCCATAACGTCGAAGGAATATGGCAACCATCTTACATGAATTTGTACCCTTGGGCTTCATGCTTGACATGATTTATCATTAAAATGCTGGGAAGCTGCAACTGATGCTGAGAAGGGCTTCCATGCTGTGTACACTTTCAATGGAACGTGCATCCCATTTCTCATTATGTCTCACTTCTGGCTAACTATGAGTAACAAGAATGCTATTAAAGTAAATGTTTTTGCTATGTGTTGCCAATGGGTAATGAAACTGCCAACACAGCACCACGAAGAACTATATTTCTCTTGAAAGTAATGGTCCAAGTCTTCTCTTCGGAGCTGATTTTCTGAAATTTGTAAAAGGGATATATACATGGGCATCCACGGGCTCCTGCTGTTCCTCCTGATGAAAGCAGCATCATACTATCACTTCACAAGCTCTGCTGGTGTTGGACACATGTACAACATTATGATGCACATCACAATGGGGCAGGGCTTGCATTGCCATGGCATGACACTGCTTTCATCAGACTGGTCTGTTTGACACCCAAGGAGACACCACTGCATACATAAGGTTAGTTAAACAACAGTTTAAAATAGCCCAAAGTCACCCAACTGGCTTTCATGCCTAAGGGAAGCCTAGAGTTCAGTATTCTGGCTTCTAGGCCAGCAC